CAGAGGGTGAGGAGGGACGATCGCTTGACCCCAGGGTCAAGGCGGCAGTGAACTGATTGTGCCACTGTACTCCAGCCTGGGCAACAGAGATCCACTCTCAAAAAAATAAAATCAATCATGCAGGTAACATGGAAATTGACGTGACTTAGTCAAACTTTATTATTTCTTATTCAGCTGTAGTATCAGCACTTTGGGAGGCCAAGGTGGGAAGATCACTTGAGGCCAGGAGTTCAACACCAGCCTGGGTAAGACAGCAAAACTCTGTCTCTAAAAAAAAAAAAAAATTAAATTAATTTTAAAAATAAAAATATTAAGAAAAGCAAGGAGATTATTTCCTTACAATTTAGGATAGCAGCTGGCTGAGGTGGCTCGCACCTGTAATCCCAACGCTTTGGGAGGCCGAGGCAGGCAGATCACTTGAGCTCAGGAGTTCGAGACCAGCCTGGACAATATAGTAAAACCAAAAAAAGCTAAAAAAATTTAGAGTATTGTATTGGCCTGATGTGGACGGAGAAGTCTACCATTACGTATCTTTTTTTTTTTTTTTGAGACTGAGTCTCGCCATGTTGCTAGGCTGGAGTGCAATGGTGTGATCTTGGCTCACTGCAATCTCTGCCTCCCTGCTTCAAGCGATTTACCTGCCTCAGCCTCCGAAGTAGCTGGGACTGCAGGCGCACACCATCATGCCCAGAGAAATTTTTTGTATTTTAGTAGAGATGAGGTTTCACCATGTTGACCAGGATCGTCTGGATTTCTTGACTTTGTGATCCACCTGCTTCGGCCACCCAAAATGCTAGGATTACAAGTGTGAGCTACCACACCCGGCCACGTACATGGCCTTGCTGTCGTTACACACTGTTCACTTTAAGGTGTTTCAGTTGATCCCACAATTGTCTTAGAAAAGTTCTACGTGTGTTCTATTTTACAATAAAATGCTATCAGCAGCCAGGCACGGTGGCTCACACCTGCAATCCCAGCACTTTGGGAGGCCAAGGTGGGCAGATCACCTGAGGTCAGGAGTTTGAGACCAGCCTGGCCAACATGGAGAAACCTCATCTCTTTATTTAAAAAAAAAATAAAGATTAAAAAAATAAATAAATAAAATGCTATCAGCAGCTGGGCTTGGTGGCTCATGCCTATAATTCCAGCACTTTGGGAGACCGAGGCAGGAGGACTCCTTGAACCCAGAAGTTAGAAACCATCCTGGGCAATATGGTGAAACCGTGTCTCTACCAAAAGTATAAAAATGAGCCAGACATGGTGATGTGCACTTGGGAGTCCCAGCTACTCAGGAGGCTGAAGTGGGAGGATCATCTGAGCCCAGGAGGCTGAGGTTGCAGTGAGCCAAGATGACACCATTGCAATCCAGTATGGGCAACAGAGCGACACCCTGTCTCCAAAAAAAAAAAAAAATTATGAACTCGTCTATCACAGTGACGCATTAAAGAAAACTGCCAAGTCATTGAATAGATGCCCCCCAACAAGCAGTTCATTCCCTCTGCCATCCAGCCATACCCAAAAATCTGAGAAGCATCAGATGGGAATCTGCATCGCAAAGCAACGTTCATCCAAGGACATATGAATGGCATGAAGCACACGTGGTCCCTCTCCACGTGCTACACCCTCTTCAACCAAAGCCCCTTAACCTGGGGTCTGAATACAAATGCAGCTGAGGCCAGGCACGGTGGCTCACACCTGGAATCCCGGCACTGTGGGAGGCTAAGGCAGGTGGATCACTTGAGGTCAGGAGTCTGAGACCAGCCTGGCCAACATGGTGAAAGCCCGTCTCTACTAAAAACACAAAAATTAGCCAGGTGTGGTGGTGCACCCCTATAATCCCAGCTACTTGGGAGGCTGAGGCAGAATCATTTGAACCCAGGAGGTGGAGGTTGCAGTGAACCGAGATCACGCCACTGCACTCTAGCGTGGGGGACAGAGAAAGACTCTGTCTCAAAAAAATAAAAATAAGAACGTAGCCAAATAACCACTTTCAGCCTGGGTTAAAGGACAAAGGGGTGAGTGGTGGATTCCAGAAGACTAACCTCGAAGTTTTTTTTTTTGTTTTTTTTTTTTTTGAGACGGAGTTTCACTCATGTTACCCAGGCTGGAGTGCAATGGCGCGATCTCGGCTCACCGCAACCTCCGCCTCCTGGGTTCAGGCAATTCTCCTGCCTCAGCCTCCTGAGTAGCTGGGATTACAGGCACGCACCACCATGCCCAGCTAATTTTTTGTATTTTTAGTAGAGAAGGGGTTTCACCATGTTGACCAGGATAGTCTCGATCTCTTGACCTCGTGATCCACCCGCCTCAGCCTCCCAAAGTGCTGGGATTACAGGCTTGAGCCACCGTGCCCGGCCTAGAAGTTTTTTTAATCCCACAAACAGTCCCCTGCAGAAAACAGCTACCAGTTCAAGATTATCCTCGTGATAAATTGTTTGCCAATCAGCTAATCAGAATGGACACTTCTCAGTACTGCAGGATGTATTTTACAGAATTCACACCCATCTGACGTGCAGATACTGTGCAGGCACAATCTCTGCCCCGTGCCTAGGTCAGTGCTAGTTCCGTGAATCTCTTCAACCCACACCTCCACCCACCTCGAAGTAAGGTGTGGGGCTGTGTGTGCAACATTTTCCGAATTTGAGAGTTTTCCACAGCAGCATTCTCAGGCTCAGCCAAAGAATAACACCAGGCAGGGGCGGAAAGCAAAGAACACATCCGAGACACTCACTGCCCTCACTAAGGACAAGAAAACAATGCAAAAAGCATTTATACTTTTTTTTTTTTTTTTTTTTTTTTGGAGACACAGTCTAGCTCTGTTGCCCAGGCTGGAGTGCAGTGGTTGCAGCCGCAAACTTGTGGGTTCAAGTGATTCTCGCTGCTCGAGTGGCTGGGACCACAGGGTGCTCATCACCGTGCCCAGCCTCATGATTTTACATTTACTGAAACCTGGGGCTGAGATAGGAGCAAAACTCATGCTGAGCTGGACACAGACGAGGCTGTTCGCAGCTGTCAGGTGACAATGTTGAACCGACTTCAGCTCTGTGTGCCCGGAAACCAGAAAAGGTGAAGCCATTTCCCCACCCTGCTGGGCGCTGGAACTGGGCACAGCAAGGACCGCCCTTCCCATACCACTAAGATTGCTGCAGATGACAAGGCCAGGCTCAGACCCCCTGGGGCCCTATTCTTTGCCTCAGAAATGATTCACGGACCTGATCGTCCCCACTATTCAATCAGAACAAAATGCTCAGGCCGGGCGCGGTGGCTCATGCCTGTAATCCCAGCACTTTGGGAGGCCGAGGCGGGTGGATCACGAGGTCAAGAGATCGAGACCATCCTGGTCAACACGGTGAAACCCCGTCTCTACTAAAAATACAAAAAATTAGCTGGGCCTGGTGGCGCGTGCCTGTAATCCCAGCTACTCAGGAGGCTGAGGCAGGAGAATTGCTTGAACCCAGGAGACGGAGGTTGCGGTGAGCCGAGATCGCGCCATTGCACTCCAGCCTGGGTAACAAGAGTGAAACTCTGTCTCAATAAATAAATAAATAAATAAATAAATAAATAAATAAAATGCTCTTTGACTCAGCAACTTCATGTATAGAAATTTGTCCTACAGAGTAACACACATTCACAAAGATCTATTTGCCAGGCGCGGTGGCTCAAGCCTGTAATCCCAGCACTTTGGGAGGCAGAGGCGGGTGGATCACGAGGTCAAAAGATCGAGACCATCCTGGTCAACATGGTGAAACCCCGTCTCTACTGAAAATACAAAAAATTAGCTGGGCATGGTGGTGCGTGCCTGTAATCCCAACTACTCAGGAGGCTGAGGCAGGAGAATTGCCTGAACCCAGGAGGCGG